CAGCTAGACCAATACACATTGCTTAAGGCCAACTGAAGGATAAACAGAAGTCCTAGTCAGCTCTGTACATAACAATATGAGGAAATAGGGTCAGGCTCAGTCAAAATGGAGACAGTCGCTCTTCTTTCAAGGAGAGCTGCTCAGGTGGACCTCCACATGCATCCCTCTTTTAGCATAAATGTCCTGCCTAGTAGTAAACACAGAAGAAGAAGACAGGCAAGACAGTGGTCAGAAATAGGCTAATTGTTAGCAGCAGGCAAACATGGGTCGTCCTGAGATAGCTTCAGTTGTCATCTTTCAGGGTGTCTGATTTGTAAATGGACATTCCACTTCTATCCTCTGCCTTGTCTGGGGCCTCCTTCCCCAGGGAATGCCAAAAGTCTCACTTCCATGCTGCTGGGCACAAGGGCTCGTTCCTGGATATTTTCAGTGTGTTTTGCTGAGGCCCCTCTGGTCCAGCTTATGTCTGTGTACTTGCTTTGCTTGGTTCTTTCATCTTCCCCAACATTGTCATAACTTGGTGATCAAATCAATCTTAACACTAAAGTAAAATTAAAATCAACCTTAAAATGTAGAATCTACTGTTATTTATTTGCATTTTTCAACTAAAGAGCTTGTGAAAGGAGTGGACATGCTTCAGCAGTGCACTGCCCACCTATTTTATGATGTGGGACGCATTGCTTCAAGCTTGCGATTTCTCTCTGGCAAGTTCTGTCCAGGAGGGCTGATTGGCCCTGGCATAACCAGCTCTCCAGCTGATTTGACGGGGAGATTCCTGGAATCGCAGCTTGGCCCCCTGCTTCTGGGTCACTATGGGTTTAGCAGGGCTTATGGGGAAAGACTTGCTGTGGACAGAGCCCTATTTCATGGAATCTGGGACTCTTGGGTGTCTTTGCTTGCTTTCCTGTTTGTGATTGAAGGATCCGCATACTGTGGTTGTCTTTCTGGCTCTGTGGTGGGTCAAGCACCCCTGGTTGCTTCTGCTGGGCCATGGATCCAGGGTGGCATGGGTTGCCTGTCAGATCCCAAACATTTCTCCATTCCTCTGC